CCTCAGACTTTGCAACTCACTTCACTGACAAGATCTCTACAATCAGAGTAGAGATCTCTCATCTTTCTTCTTCCCCTTACAATACTTCCCCTAACTTCACTCCCTCTGCTGTTCTATGTTCATTCGCACCCGCTACATTGGAAGAGGTTTCTGCTCTGCTCCAGTCCTCCTGCCCCACCACCTGCTCCCTAGATCCAATTCCCTCGCATCTCATCCGTACTCTGTCTTCTTCTCTTTCTCTCTCTAAAATTCTCAATCTCTCTCCTCTGGTATATTTCCATCACCCGTCAAACATGCAACTGTAACCCCAATTCTAAAGAAGCCCAATCTTGACCCTAACTCCCCATGCAACTTTCGTCCTATCTCACTACTGCCTTTTGCATCCAAGATCCTTGAAAGAATTGTGTATGCGAGATTGACAGACTCCCTCGAGTCCAACTCTCTTCTAGACCTGCTTCAGTCTGGTTTCCGCGCTAAGCACTCTGTGGAAACGGCACTGACCAAAGTATCCAATGATCTACTTGCTTCAAAATCTAGTGGTCACTACTATATCCTAATTCTCCTTGACCTGTCTGCGGCTTTTGACACTGTTGATCATCAACAGCTTCTTCTCATCCTCCACAATATCGGTCTACAAAATAATGCTCTCTTCTGGTGCTCCTCCTACCTCTCCCAGCGCTCTTTCAGTGTTTCTTTCGCTGACTCTGCTTCTTCTCCCCAACTCCTCTCTGTTGGTGTCCCTCAAGGTTCAGTCCTTGGTCCCCTACTGTTCTCCATCTATACTGCCTCCTTTGGTAAACTCATTAGCTCCTTTGGCTTCCAATATCATTTCTATGCAGATGACACGCAAATCTACCTGTCCTCTCCTGATCTCTCCGCGTCCCTCTTGACTAGTGTCTCTGACTGCCTCTCTGCTATTTCTAACTGGATGGCTGCCCACTTCCTTAAACTAAACTAGACCAAAACCGAAATTCTGGTCTTTCCTCCCTCGAGTGTTTTTACTCCTGTGTCTGTCTCCCTCCAGGTCAATGGTGCTACCATCAGCTCCACCACGCAGGCTTGCTACCTAGGTGTTCTTTTTGACTCTGACCTCTCCTTCAAGCCACATGTTCAATCAATCGCCAAATCCTGTCATTTCCATCTCAAAAACATTGCGCGCATCCGCCCCTACTTAACCCCAGATGAGACTAAGGTGTTGGTCCATTCCACTGTCCTTTCTCGCCTTGACTACTGTAATCCACTTCTCAGTGGTCTTACGTGCTCCCAACTTGCGCCGTTACAGTCTATAATGAATGCGAGGCTCATCTTCCTGTCCGCCCGCACCTCCCATGTCTCACCCTTCTGTCAGTCCCTACCTTGGCTTCCTATAAAATATAGAGCTCAATTTAAAATTCTGGTTCTTGCTTTCAAATCTCTACATAATGCTGCTCCCACTAACTATCCTCCCTTATGCACAAGTATTTCCCACCTAGGCCCGTACGATCTGCTGAAGACTTACGTCTATCTTCTGTCCGTACTCTCACCTCAGATGCTCGCCTTCAAGATTTCTCGAGGGCTGCACCGTTTCTGTGGAACTCTCTTCCCTCCTCCATTAGATGCTCACCCAGTCTCCACTCCTTCAAAAAATCGTTAAAAACCAACTTCTTCATAAAAGCGTATCAATTAAACTGTTAATAGCTCCTGACTGATTCCTCTTCTGCAACTGTCACTAGTCTAATACTATCCTGACCTTTTTCTGTCATTTTACCCCACTCCCTCTAGCATGTAAGCTCATTGAGCAGGGCCCTCAACCCCTCTGTTCCTGTGTGTGTCCAACTTGTCTGCTTACAACTACATGTCTGTTCGTCCACCCACTGTAAAGCGCTGTGGAATCTGATGGCGCTATATAAATATCATAATAATAATAATTGTTACGATAGTGAATGTGCAAAGTCTAGTACAGACAAAGGCAACCTTTGGCACTCCAGATGTTTTGGATTACACCTTTCATGATGCTTTGCCAGCATTACGGGTGTAAGAACATTATGGGGGATATAGTCCAAAACATCTGGAGTGCCGGAGGTTGCCTATCCCTGGTCTAGTACACCCTTGTCTACGGGGTAGATCAACTAGACAGGTTCGTGACAGCACAGAAAAAAGTATTTATTAGTAGATGGAATCAGGGAAAGGGCATAGTCAGTATTCCAGGAAAAATGGTTCCTAGTAGGGGGTCACAAAACAGGTTCGGTACACTGGATATCCAATAAATTCTCTGATTTACCGTATTTTTCGCTCCATAAGACGCACTTTTTTTCCCCTCAAAAGTGAGGGGAAATGTCTGTGCGTCTTATGGAGTGAATGTGAAGAATTACTTACCTGTCTTGGAGCGTGGGCCGGCTTCACAGCGCGCTCCGCGGTCCAGGAACTTCTATTTCAGGTTCCGGTTTCCGGCGGGACTGAAAGGAAATTATTACGCACACTGAGTCCTTGAAACGGAACCTGAAATATTAGTTCCTAGACATGGTATGGAGCAAACCTCAAGCTAAATGTAATAAGGACAAGGAGGGAGACACTATAGGACAAGGGAGGAGGAGACACTATGGGCAAGGGGAGGGACACTATGGGAGAAAGGGAGACACTATAGGACAAGGGGAGGGAGGAGACACTATGGGACAAGGGGAGGGGAGCACTGTGGGACAGGGAGGGAGACACTATAGGAGAGAAAGGGAGGGAGACACTTTATGGGACAAGGGGAGGGAGGAGACACTATGGGACAAGGGGAGGGAGGGAGACACTGTAGGACAAAGGGGAGAGACACTATGGGACAGGGGAGGAGCACTATGGGACAAGGAGAGGGACACTATGGGACAAGGGGAGGGACACTTTATGGGACAGGGGAGGGAGACACTATGGGAGAAAGGGAGGGAACACTTTACTATGGGACAAGGGCAGGGGGGACACTATGGGAGAAAGGGGAGGGGGACACACTATGGGACAAGGGGAGGGGAGACACTATGGGAGAAAGGGGAGGGGGAGACACTATGGGACAAGGGCAGGGGGACACTATGGGAGGGAAAGTGCACTATGGGACAATGGGAGGGGGGACACTATGGGATCAGAACACTAATGGACAAGGGGAGGAGGAGTTAAAGAACACTATGGGACAGGGTAGGAGGGGTTAACAATCACTATGGGACAGGGTAGGAGGGTTTAACAATCACTATGGGACAGGGTAGGAGGGGTTAACAATCACTATGGGACAGAGGAAAGGGGGGTTAAAGATCATTATGGGACAGGGGAGAAAAAAAAATATTCTGAACAAACTGTCCCATGGTAAGAGACACTATGGAACAGTTTGTTCAGAATATTTTTTTTTCTGGGTTTCCTCCTCTAAAAACTAGGTGCGTCTTATGGTGAGGTGCGTCTTATGGAGCGAAAAATACGGTAGTCTCTATTTGAACCGTGGAGCTTGTTTCCCTCATCCATAATATGAAAGAGTTGGGTTATGGTTAAACCACATATAGCACAAATTACAGGTTTTGTTTACATTTTTATTTTTTATCCCAACTTGTACAATTAGCTCAGTCCTTAAGGGGTTAATGTTGTGGCTGATCAGTGTGTGTGTATATATTTAAAACCAAGTTTAAACCATATGTATGTTAAAACTTTGTTTCAGAATAGATTCCAGCATGCCTGAGATGTTGCAAGTCTCCCTTTCTCCACCTTGTTTTGTAGAAGAGTCTGATATCTCCTCAGAACAATAATACAAATCAATATGGATCACTTTGTTTGGGGGGTATGTGGCAAAATGACACATTTATCTTTAATAAAAGACTGCAGGGATGTCTGTGTTTACAAGCACTTAAACCTTGGTGTTTGGGACTAAATTGCTCTCTTAGGGAGAGCTGCACGTTCTGTGAAAGGGTTGCTTTCTTCAGGATTAGACCTTATCGAGCAAGTTAAGTGTTAGCTGCTGCTTCCCCTCATCCAGCCGCTGTAATTGCCTTTTATTTAAAATGTCTTTGTAATTCTGTATAATTGGTAAACATTTTGTTTTCATTACACACGACTGTTTTGGAACTGCAAAAATTAATGCAATTTAAACCTTGCCATTGTAAGACACACAAAATAGATTAACCTGTCGTTCTCGGGTGGGAAAAGTAGCAGATGACATTTCCTGGTACATGGAAATTAGATTGAAAATCTGCTTCTTGATGTGGTTTTAGATTCTGTGCCATTTTCCTGATCCATCTCTTTCTTGGAAAACATTATGTGAGGAAGGCTGAACTTGATGGATGCAACTATGTAATTACTGTTTTTGTAGATGCTGTTTAGTTTTTTTAGAGGGAGAGTATCCCAGTTACCCTACCTCCCCCTCCTCTCCTTTCATCTCTTCTGATAACAAATATAAAAATCTCCCCTTGATGTAGCCCTCCCGCTGCAGACTCATCCTCCTTATTCCTTGCTCTTTGCATGTGTTCTTCACAAACATTGATGCTCATCTTCGAGAGAAAACACCTTATGGAGAGTTTATAACTTTTTCATGGTCACATGAGAACACAAGGTTTCTTGAGTCCTCCTTCTCCAGGACCGCATTTGTTGATCGTTCCGCCATTTTTTTGTTGTGCAGATTTTGGTGTTCTCCTGACAGTGTTGTTAAAGGGAAGTGTAAGCTTTGAGGTGGGCAATGTTCGGTTTCTCACTCCAGTCAAAATTTGACATTTTTCACCGGGATGAGTAATTTCGTACAGGATGCAGGACATATTATTCTTATGATGCAGATGCATCCAACACCACCATTGAATGAACCATTTGCATCAGATGCCAGCCTATGCCATACCTGCAGTGCAAAATGGGATTTACTGTAAAATAAGCATATTTCTATAAAGTAAAACATTAACAATTACTCCCTTTATGTTTCGAGTGACTAAAAATATCTCAGGCTTGTTTTTAAGCATACCTGAATGTGCATTGTAAAGGAGCACTCTGTCTGCAGTTGACTCCCTTTTTAAAAATGTATTATGGAGATAAAGGTAAGATTACTGAATAGAATTAGTCACGTGGGAGTGTTTTTTTGTTTTGTTTTTTTGTTTGTTTTTTTATGAATTAATCTGCTGTTCCTTGCAGTTTTTCCATACAAGATATTTAGTACTTCCAGGGGGTACTTGACCTCACATTTTATTTTTATTTTAATACTGATCAAGGAGAGGGAGCTCCTGTTACCATAACCTGAGTAAAGAACCTTGGTAGATAAGGTGCCGAAGGGTCCCTTTTAGAAATTACTGTAAAATAAGAATTTTGGAAATCCTCTAAAAACTAAACAATAAATACCTTTCCCCTTCAACATACCGAATTCTCAGACTGCACGTATTCTAATGTAGCCAAATTCTTTGGTACTATACAGTGTGGAGCGTGCGTATTTGTGGAATAATGTGGCAGATTGTAAAATAAACTGTACAAATTATAAATATCTTCTGTGCCATTGCACCTCTGGTGTTTATAGATCCTGAGACCTGGAGCTTCCATATCTATCCAGTACCAGTATACAAATAAATTGCAAATTCTGCTGCATGTATATTTCTTTTTATCTTGCTTCCAGTGCGAGCTTTGTATGTGATCAAGAGGCTGTTCTGTGAGTCTAGTACTGAGTGCCTGTTGAAGCCTAATTTTGAAATGAAAGCTATGATTGCTGTGTGCTGTTTGTAAGCTCTTAGACTTCCCTGACGGTTATTGCTTCCTGTAATCGCACATGGTCTCTGTCATCTTGCGTACATCACCCAGCTAATAATCAGACTTTAATTGCGTTCTTGTCTACCTATATGTACCCAGAGAATATTTAACTTGTTTTGTTTTCTCCGTCTATTGATTTTTTTTTTTTTTTTTTTGTGTTGTAAATCTTTTAACCTTTGATGTCAATCTGGTGCAGCTTTGGGGAAGTGCATCTTGCGAATCCAGGATTATGTACCTATTGGTGGAGTTTCAGTGAGAGTGTATAGAGAAAATGAGGGGTGGGGGACTGTATCTTTTTTTGGAATACGGTTGAAAATGTCCTTTTTTGGGTGGAGTGATATTATTTAAAGGGATATGCCAACCCTATAACCAAACTAAGTGGGATTTGCATGTTTTTTTTGTTTTGTTTTTTATATTGTTTATACAGTTGCAAGAAAAAGTATGTGAACCCTTTGGAATGATATGGATTTCTGTACAAATTGGTCATAAAATGTGATCTGATCATCATCTAAGTCACAACAATAGACAATCACAGTCTGCTTAAACTAATAACACACAGAATGAAATGTTGCCATGTTTTTATTGAACACACCATGTGAACATTCACAGTGCAGGTGGAAAAAGTATGTGAACCCTTGGATTTAATAACTGGTTGAACCTCCTTTGGCAGCAATAACTTCAACCAAACGTTTCCTGTAGTTGCAGATCAGACGTGCACAATGGTCAGGAGTAATTCTTGAACATTCCTCTTTACAGAACTGTTTCAGTTCAGCAATATTCTTGCGATGTCTGGTGTGAATCGCTTTCTTGAGGTCATTCCACAGCATCTCAATCAGGTTGAGGTCAGGACTCTGACTGGGCCACTTCAGAAGGCGTATTTTCTTCTGTTTAAGCCATTCTGTTGATTTATTTCTATGCTTTGGGTCATTGTCCTGTTGCAACACCCATCTTGTGTTGAGCTTCAGCTGGTAGACAGATGGCCTTAAGTTCTCCTGCAAAATGTCTTGATAAACTTGGGAAATCATTTTTCCTTCGATGATAGCAATCCGTCCAGGCCCTAACGCAGCAAAGCAGCCCCAAACCATGATGCCTCCACCACCATACTTCACAGTTGGGATGAGATTTTGATGTTGGTGTGCTGTGCCTTTTTTTCGCCACACATAGTGTTGTGTGTTTCTTCCAAACAACTCAGCTTTGGTTTCATCTGTCCACAGAATATTTTGCCAGTACTGCTGTAGAACATCCAGGTGCTCTTGTGCAAACTGTAAACGTGCTGCAATGTTTTGTTTGGACAGCAGTGGCTTCCTCTGTGGTATCTCCCCATGAAATCCATTCTTGTTTAGTGTTTTATGTATTGTGGATTCGCTAACTGGGATGTTGGCATTTGCCGGTGACTTTTGTAAGTCTTTAGCTGACACTCTAGGATTCTTCTTCAGCTCATTGAGCAGTCTGCGCTGTGCTCTTGCAGTCATCTTTACAGGACGGCCACTCCTAGGGAGAGTAGCAGCAGTGCTGAACTTTCTCCATTTATAGACAATTTGTCTTACCATGGACTGATGAACAGCAAGGCTTTTGGAGATACTTTTATAACCCTTTCCAGCTTTATGCAAGTCAACAATTCTTAATCGTAGGTCTTCTGAGAGCTCTTTTGTGCGAGGCATCATTCACATCAGGCAATGCTTCTTGTGAAAAGCAAACCCAGAACTGGTGTGTGTTTTTTTTATAGGGCAGGGCAGCTGTAACCAACACCTCCAATCTCATCTCATTGATTGGACTCCAGTTGGCTGACATCTCACTCCAATTAGCTCTTGGAGATGTCATTAGTCTAGGGGTTCACATACTTTTTCCACCTGCACTCTGAATGTTTACATGGTGTGTTCAATAAAAACATGGCAACATTTCATTCTTTGTGTGTTATTAGTTTAAGCAGACTGTGATTGTCTATTGTTGTGACTGCAGTGTTCCCGGTATTTTGTTCAAAGTGCCTTTGTTCGTATACATAGCCGTATAATATATAGTTGATAAATATTATGGAATTTCTTGGAGTTGTTTGATGCACTCATACTCTGCACATGGCTCTGATATTCATTTTGTTTGGAAGGTCTGAGCTCCTTCGAAGTTGGCGCTCAACAGAGAGAACAAGAGAGATTTGGGTCTGAATTATTTTGTCTTTTCCCCTCCTAAAGAGAGAAAGCTGTATGAGTCCATTGTGGATTGGGTATTTTACCGGTTTAATGTGGGTGTTAATTCTAACATATGACTTTGTCCCCATAGGACTTTGTGTGAATAGTGTTTGGATTCCCCCCCAATGATGTGAGATTTTAACAGTAAACGTCATTTCCCGCACGGTGACATTTTCTTTGATGGCTGTGTTTTGATTTTCCTCTTGGACAGCATAATGCATAGTCCGTGTGAGCAGATGGAGGTTGCTGGCTTCTTATTACTGCTAATTGCAGGAAATGCCTCTTTGATCCTAATTTCGGAGATTAACTGGCAGGGATGTTTGTCTTCCGCCACTCTGCGCATCCTTTTTTTGTAAATGTAGCTATTAGACCACCAAAAAATCCTTGATTATTCTCATTGGAAGTCTGTATGAACAGGTCGTTTAAGCTGCTAACTGCTCCATTTTAACTATTTGGTCTTTAATGTCTTCTTGCGTAGTCTGTTGACTGTTCGAATGATGAGATAATCTGATCTCATCACAGAGCTAAGAGTTACAGGTGTGTTTCCTGGGACAGTATAGTAGCTGGTGCTGTATCACCTCTACTGGAAGACCATTTGTGTTTACTAATCTTTCTGCAAGTGTCCTCATTATTCTCCCTACCATCTTTCTACAAACACTTCATCTTCTTGTTCTTTTAAATTTCTGCCATGCAATGCCTGGTTAGTTATCTGCTCAATTGAAATTAAAGACATTAACATTAAGGATTACCTTGCTTGATACGATTATGCAGTGTAATGCCACGTAAAGGCATCAGAATTAACTATTTGTTTTATATGTAATTGAGGTTTCTTTCATCAATTGACGTGGGAGATTAATGTTCTTGTGAATTAATTTGTTATAGCATAAGTTCAATTATTTGTAGCCATAACTATCTTTATAATTCAGCATTAATTGCCCCATTCCACCGTAGCAATTGAACAAGCAGCGCAAAAGACAAAGATTAGTGTTTAAAATCTTTCTCTCACATTTATTCAATATATGCTATTTCTGGTACCAATAAAAATAATCAGATTACTTTTGAAATACACACTATGAACTATATCTGTTCCATTACCTCTGGGACAAAACTTTTTTTTTTCTTTCTTTTTTTTCTTTTTTTTTAAACTTTGTCCGTCATCATATTATCATTGTAACCAATTATTTCCTTGTTACAGGTGGAATTAATTAAAGGGAATTCTCAAAGCATTGGACTGATCATGGTACAAGCTCGAGATGGAGACACTGGCCATGTCTGCGTAGAGAGTGTAACTCCGAACTCTCCGGCAGCTATTGCTGATCTGAAAAAGGGAGATCGTCTGATTGCTATAGGAGGTACACATTCACACCTAGTGCCTTTCTGTGCAAGCACATGTATTGCCAGAGTAGATCTGACTGCAACACAAAAAGAAGGGTTATAACATTGCCCAAGGAACCGAGGTTATAGCACAGCCCAGGGGACTAAGGTTATCACATCTACCTAGATAGATATTCCCTTTCTGTAGCACAGAATATGTGCACACAACAGCCAATGCTTGTTTTCTCATGTCTACATATCCGATAAGTAGGTTTTTAAATCCTATATATCTCTTAATTACTTGGAACATACTGATATAAGGAAAGCAGGTGTAAAGTGTTACTCCAACCCCTATCTTTAATGACTTATAGGGCATTACTACCTAACATTGTCTCGGCACTTACATGGTCCAGTCATAATCTTCTTATAGAGAAGCCTGTGATTGGACCATTTTGCTGGCTTAGACTGTAGGCACACTGCTAGGAGGGAGAATTCAATTTAAAAGAAGCAAAAAGGCTAAGTTACAGAGGGAGGTGGTAGGGAGCACTCACCACAAGTGAGAAAGGAAGTGGAAGGCTATTTTCATATTGCCAGTTCACTGCCTGCAGTGGTGAAGATTTTCCATCTGTTGCTAGCACGCACAAGATTGACATTAGTCAACCGGAGGAGTATTCTAAGCGGCTGGAGGTGCTAGCCTACAATACACAATTAAAAATAATTCTGAACATCCAGACTTCTACCACAATGACCACTTTAAATCACTGAAGTGGTTATGGTGGTTGGAGTAACCATTTCATCTGCTTTACTGGACTATTAATGTTTATACATAAAGAGACAAACTAGATACCAATATCTTGTAAAAATAAAAATAAAAAAAAAACTCCCTTTATCTTTGTGGTTTTATTAACCTCCCTTGGTCTGTCTGTCATTTTTTTTTTTTAGCTATGCAATATTCTGTTAGGACATATTAACGGTCCCTTTCTTTTTAACAGGTATCAAAGTGACTTCATCTGTTCAAGCCTCGAAGCTTATCAAACAAGCTGGAGATAGAGTTCTTGTATTCTATGAAAGACCTGCTGGTCAAAATCAGCATGGTGGCGGCGGCTTGCAAGAGACATTTGGACAGTTGGAAGATTCCACTTTTGGACCAACACCATTTACTCCAAATTTTGAGGAGGATTCAACAAGCTTGCTTGTAGATACTGAAAACAAAGAGTTGGACTCAGAGTTTGAGGATCTTGCCTGCGAGATCAAGCCTACTGGGGAGCCGAAGGAGGATGTTTTCCTTCCAGTATCTCAAAGTCCTAAACGTGTTGTGGCAAATCTTTCTACTAAACCTATGGGTTCGATATCACCTATTCTAAATAGAAAGCTGAACTTGCCAAGTTACCAAACTTCTTCAAAAACCCAGGCAAAACCCACCAAGACGGTTCCTCCAGAAAACCAAGATTCTGTACAGCAAAACAGGCTTTTAACAGGATCTAGTAACAGACCACCTGTACCCCCAAGGCCCCAAGTAAAACTTACCTTAACTACCTGTGAAACTATAAGCGCTTTGGAAACTACAGAGCCTGTTGTGGATAAACCAGAGAAGCCACTTCCAACATCCACAAATGGTGACAAGCTGGCAGAGAAATCTGTAAAACCTGTGGAACTAGTGGATGAGGTTGCTCCCCAGAAAGCCAATACGCTGAAGCAGGATGCTGCAAAGGATAAAGTATCAGAAAGTTCTGCAAGCACAAAGGATAGTGTAGATGATCAGCATGTCTGGGAATCTCCAGAAGTGCTGTTTAAGAATCGTCAAGGCCGTTGGCCCAGATCATCATGTCTCTTCGAAGTGGAAGGCTACCACAGATACTTGAATGTAGCTCTATGGTGCAGAGACTCTTTTAAGACAGGGAGTCTTTGTTGTGTAGGACATGTCAGTATCAAACTAGAAGACATTGCATTAGAATGCCTCTCAACAACATCCCTGGAGTATCTTACAACCTTCAGGTTGAATGCCCCGGAGCCCAAAGCAGCAGTCAGCAGAACAGCTTTAAGAAGTCTAAGTATGCACAAGGGATTTAATGAAAAGTATTGCTACGGGGACATCACTTTGAACTTCAAGTATTTGATGGAAGGAGAGTCTGAGAATTCTAGCATACAGCTCGAAAAAGAAAGAGATGTCAGCTTTATGGAAGACATGGCCCTGCTTCAGAAAGAAGAGGTGCAAATGTCCCACATGGTTTTTACTGAAACCAAACACAATTTCCAAGATACACAGTTTCAGAATTCTACCCTTTGCGATCACTGTAAGAGAAAAGTGTGGACTAAAGCTGCCTCGCAGTGCATGACATGTGGCTATGTTTGCCATAAGAAATGCCAAGAGAAATGCTTAGCGGAAAATCCATATTGTGTAGCTTTAGAAAAGAGAGTTGATCTTGAATCTAAATCATTGGGCAATAGAACTACGGGTATTACAAGACATATCATAAACACCAGTTCCCGTCTCTTAAATTTACGTCAAGCCCCCAAAACACGGCAGCCAGAGCAAGGTAGTGATCTTGTGGAGCCTTCTCCAAAGCACACTCCAAACACTTCTGACAACGAGAGCAGCGACACAGAGACAGGTGGTGCAAACAGCCCTTCTAAGAGAGCTTCCAGTGGAACAGGAAAGCTTGTTCGAAAAGAAGGCGGCTTGGATGACAGTGTTTTTATCGCTGTTAAAGAAATCGGCCGTGATCTCTACAGAGGACTGCCAACTGATGAAAGGATCCAGAAGTTGGAATTCATGTTGGACAAGCTGCAGAACGAGATAGATCAAGAACTGGAACATAACAACTCGCTATTGAAGGAGGAGAAAGAAGCCACTGACACTAGGAGAAAAGCACTTCTTTCTGCTGCTTTGTCCAAATCCGGAGAGAGGCTCCAAGCTCTCACCCTCCTTATGATTCATTATCGAGCTGGTATTGAGGACATCGAATCTTTAGAAAACTCCTCTTTGGCACAGCCCAGGAAAACGGCTAAATACGAGGAGGAATCTATGGCTACATTAGAAGTGGAGAACAATGATGAAAATGAGCTTGTTCAGGAGGAGCAGGAAGTGTTAAGCTACATATCGGAACAGAAGCCCCTAGACTCCCCAGAAGCAGAGTAGGCTTTGGAAGTGCTCTCTAAACATATATATATATATATATTTTTTTTTTTTTTTAAACCACTGATATAAAATTACAAATAATATATTTGCACTCCAATCAAGATAATGTATTGTCTGCACCTAAAGTAACAAGCAGAAGGCAGAACAGGTTCACAGTGCATCCGGAGATGCAGCCAATAATTCCATAGTAAGGGTTCACAAAGTGGAAGCCTCCAACCTGGATTGGAACTGGTACTATGGATGGTGTACCTATCAGTCAGGAACTTTAGCGGGCTCAATAGAGCCATTGATGGTCCAAACGACTGTGCTAGCAAACTGACATTTGAAAGCTCTGTGATAAAGTTTGTCAATTTAAATGGGCTTTAGTTTGTTTCACAGACTGCGGCCAAACACAGTATACTAGAATTGGGAATGCAATGCTGGCTCCACCTTAGAGATACGTATATATATATTTTGCTGTTCTCATGCACCTTGTATATTTAGTTGCTCAGATTAATTCTTTATAAATCCATCTCTAGCTGCCATCCACATTTTATTTATAGTTTATCATCTGTGTATTGTGTGTCACATGAAAGAATAGAATATATTTGGGAGAATTAAGAAAAAAAATATATGTATATATAAATATATATACACACTATGTGATTTCATATGAAAGCTGATTCTATAATAAAGTAATACTCAGAACAGTCAAGAGAAGGAAATAGCCCGTGCTACATGGTGTAATCCCGGTGTGAACCATAGCAATCAAAGATTTATAGTAAAGTTGAAGATGTTAATAATCCCTGTTATAGCGTACAACAGATGGAATGAATCCAGGTGTAGCAGCGTTCTGATGGGAATAGCAGGACACTCGTCTACACACAAACCTTCACTCTTAATGATATACAGATTTTTGGCAGACCTTCAGTTTTTGTACTCTCCTCTTTCTCCGTCCAATTTCAGATTGTAATTTAACATTATATAAACCTCTTTCACTAAGCATGCAGGACTAGATGGTTTACGTTAGGAGTGTTAATGTGAGTGAGGATCTTAGGAATACTCGCAATACTCTGACCCTCTCCCTTGCGGTCCCTTTAGCTAGTGCGATATTAAGACCTTCCTTCATTACATAGGGGTATAACCTATAGAGATGGTATGGTTTTTACAATTCACTCATACGCAGTAAAAGACCAGTAACAATGCTTTTAAAAAGGGATTATGTTGGTATTGTCGTTTTTTTTTATTTTTTATTTTTTTAATGCAAATGAAGTGGCGTTGGTGTAAGGCACTTTGTTAAACGGATAAAGAGGTAAATGGATGTGCTCATGTTGAACTTGGAGTAATATCAGGCGAGTGTCCTAGGCTATATGAATGTAGCTCACTCTCCATATTCCGTCAGTCTATACAACTTGGGTCCCATGGGCAGATTTATATCCATTTCTAGATTTCCTGAAATACACTATTCCTTTATTTAATCTTATAGGGACCCTATAGGCAGGTCATGACTTCTGTAGTACAGATAACTCTTACCATGAGGTTTTGGGGAAGGTATGGCCATTATAGTGCTTTTCTGAGCACTACACATTGTAGGGGATTTTTTTTTTTTGGTATGTGATAAACCCATCTTGTTCAGTTTGTGTGCTGATTAAACAAATTGTCTACATTTTGACCGAAACTTTTTTTACAAGTTACAAATTGATGATCATGATATTTCTCTAAAATTCCTTAACACCGCTTTAGATAATGCACACTGTTGGGACACTGGACAGAAAGGAAGAGTAAAGAATCAAAATTCTCTTTAATTGATTGTTTCATTCTTGTACCATCATGGAATTAGTCTTATTGCGTGCATTGCATAAACCAAAACCAAGAGCCTTTAATTTCACAACAGGCGCTCATGTTTGAATTTAGCTTACGATTCATTTTTTGTATCAGAATTTTAAGCTAAAATAGAATAGAAAGTCTCCAGTTCAGCATTTTTATTTATTTATTTTTTCTGCTCAGGTCTTCTAGCCCAAGATTTGCAGTCTGTTATTTTTTTTCACACTTCACATTTTCCAGGGTTTTGTTTAGTTGTTAGGTTTGAATTGTGGAAGCTTTAACAAAGAAGGATTTTACAATATTTCAACTCCTCCTTTATCAGTTTGCAAGCTACACATAATGACTTCATTTTAGGATAACCACAAAAAATTGCTTCTATTGCAACTTAAACTATCTCTAAAACATGTAAATAAAGCGTCTGTTCTTATTATTGGGGCCCCATTTTATTCATATGGGGAGCCATCATTCTAACCTGTAGCACCTGTAATTGGTTGTGGACATGACTCATGGTCTCCCTTTGTATCCCTGTGCACCATGGGAAACGTAGGCTTCAAATGCTGCAGTGCCAAATGTTTGCCATTGCTGCATTGTGTTTCTAGATACGACAAATACAACATTGCAGCTAAACGTAATCAGCATCCTCTTGCCTATCACCTGAACTTTCCATGTACCCGAAAATTATTCCTTGTTTTGAAGTCGCTGTTGATCTTGATATTTTTGACCATTTACTAAAGAATTATTCTGAGATAAAATCTAATTTATTCCTAGCAATTCAGGTTATCCTGGAATCTGTCTTGGGACGGGCCCTCTTTCAGTAATTACATTTTCTACTTTTATTTCCTCCTAGAGCATACACAATTTAATTTGTTAATTTTTGATTTATAAAGAATTTTAAGCCAAAGGCGCACTATCGCCAGAAAAGGGTTTATGTTGGTAGTGCATATCAAATGACAGAATTGGCGAGATTAGGAGTTTATGGACAAATGTTAAATTGTTTGGAATATCAAACCTATATAGTTTACTTATAGATTATCTTTGTCTTCCAGCTTCAGTTATCCCTGTATCTCCTGTTTTGACCATAACAATTCCTGTAGAAATCTACATCCAAGTGAACGCTTAAAGCTAACATACAGCAATGTCACCCATTTCCATTACACACTTTATTACCGCTCTGCACTTGGCTGTCACCGGCTGGGATCACTACAGCATTTGTTTGGACTTATTTTTGTAAATGTCTTTCATGCATCGGACAGGCTGGGGAAACAAATCGGTTAATATGATGCTGCTAATTACCATTTATCTTTTGTAAAGTTCAAAATAAATGTAGTGCAATATTTTTTATATACATTAAAGGAAATGATAGTCACTGGGGAAAAAGAGACTATACCAAACTGTCCTGCTCCTGCTGCAGTGAATTGTGTTTTAACTGGAAAAGGATGTAATCTTTTACATTCATAATGTAATCTTTACAACAATGCTTGATTGGAACTAGCTTCAGTAATAAAACAATTAATTGCAGGATTGTTTGGTTGTCAATGGGTGATCTAAAGTCATTGTTATCCTGTCGTCGTTTGCACACATCATAAACCGTTTTCTGCTCTTTAGAAAGCAACACGTTTCTGGTTTCATACAGTGTTTGTGTGTTTTTGTATTTATAACATTTGTAGTCGAAGGCTCACTACTCCAAGCCATGGCATACCCTCCTTGGGTAAATTTCTACCCCCACCCCCCCCAACTAAACTTTCAGTATCAAAGTGCTAGGACATATGGCAATTTTGAGCTCTGTAAATTAAATGTTTTTGACCTAATGCATTTCTCCCAGGCCTACCTCTGCTGGCAAATAAATTTGGATATACAGGAGCAGTCCAGCAGTCTTATTATGTGAGAAAATCCCACATTAAAGGAAATGCAGGACTCTGCTTGTATGTTCTTGGTGGTCGTGATATCCCCTGACCAATTTTAAGCTAAGCCTGCCATCTGCCAAATTCTGGGCTAGATTACATGTTGAACAGCATGTGACTGCATTCTGCAAACAACCTCACAAAATATGGATCATTTCAAAGCCTTGGCATTCAATTAGGAGAGACATGAATTTCTACATTTCAATTATCATTTCAGCCAGTCCACTTGGTGGAAGTACGGATATATTTAAAAGGTATTCAGTAAACTGGAATAGTAAGAACTTAATCTGCTTCTATCGGATCATACAGTGGTGAAAAATAAATGTAAACCCTTCATATTTCTGAACTCCTACTTTACTTTCATTATAATAACACCTAGTTTGAACATTAAAAATGTATTTGTAAAAACAAGTGATTGTGGTACCTCCTGCAGCAGCTTTGTCTTCAACCAAATATAGGCTGTAGCTTTTTCTTCCAGTATTGGCCCATTCCTCTAAATGGAGCTTCTTGAAAGATATTTTGATATTTTCTTCCGTGAGTCTCACCACAGCCTATTCAGTTGGTTAAGATCGGGCTAGTTTTATTGGGCTTTCCAAGTAATAGGTTTCTTCTGTTTGGAACATTCTTCTGGTTTCCATGCTTGTGTTAGGATAGTTCTAATACTTCATAACCTCCATCCTGTAGAGCTTCAGCTCACATGTTGATAGCCTGACCTTTTCCATTAGATTCCCCAATAGATCAGCTTGGATAAAGCAGGCCCAAACTGTAATAGATCCTACAATCCTAAATTGTTGCCAGGATGATATCATTTTATTGGAATACAGCATTTAGTTTCTTTCAAATAATGGTTATCGTTTATGCTGAGAAATCTCTTCTGGACTCCATTAACAGGTTTGGTGGCCCCCTTGTATCCTCCAGGTTCTCTTTGGCAAACGTGGGACAGGTGACTGGATGTGTGTGGTGAAAATACACTTGCAAAGTAGATTGTGTTCTCTGTTTCTTCCCTTTATTAGGAATTGATGAAGTTTAGGTCACATGTTAGAACTGATTTATATGTTATTTATCCCTTAAAAATTTGACTAATTTTACATTATTACAACAGCAAGACACAATGGGTACAAGGCAGGTCCTTTCCTAACTAATCTGAGGTTCTTAACACCTTGGTTGTGACACAATTTTATGTCCCCATTACATTCTGTTGGGTCCTCGTTGCTTGGTAATTCCATTTTAATACAGTGGTGCCGCTGTCCCCAGGGCTATAGTTCCCTCTAATTAAAAAAAAAAAAAAAAATTGATGCAAGGTTTTTTCTGAAATGTATTTTATTAATTATTTTACAGTGGGTCACTGAGATTTTTACAATTGCAGAATGGGTCCCTATGCTACATAAAGTACATAAAATTGGTCCGTTCCTAAAATGTCAGCAATCCTTAAAAATAAACTTTTTTTCTTTTCTTACAACTTTTTTTTTTTTTTTTTTTTGGGGTAGTCCTGAATAGCAGACTACTTTCAAGAATGCAGTCTTTCTAGACCCCGGTCTTTCTTGTTCTAGAGACTGTCTACATTGTGCACTAGCGAACACTTAATTGACCTGTAGTGGTCCTTTCATTTTAACTCTGCAATGAAAAACATTAGTTTTGTAGAAACATTGCGGTCTAAATGTATCTCTCGGCCGCTGTCTCTAGAATAACACCCTTCTGATGGCAGGATTGTATTGGAGGAGCGCTCAGCATTAGGCTGCACATTACAATCATCTATGTAAAGCAGTGGATGATATTGCTGACGTCCTCGTAGGCGGAGTGGGCGGCTGCAAGAAAGAACTCCCCGGTCTGGGAAAAGGAAGTCATTATTTCACTTTATTCTACTAGCAATGAGGGCTGGACATTTAATATGTTTCAGAGGAAAGAAGGAATACACCTCCCACCACCCAATTGAAAGGTTCTCGTTAAACGTAATTTTTGAACAATTTTTTAAATTCAAACTAGCAGAGTGGTGGTTTCTTTAAGTTTTGGCAGTTTGGCCTACAGCTTGCACTTCTAATAATTCCCAGTTAAGTAAACACACCCTATTATTTAAGCTGAAGGGCCAGTGGGGAGACGAAGCGGTTCGTTGCTTTACTTGCTGCATGGATACAAATGCTCTCCTTTGTTGAGCTCTGTTGCTTGTGTTAGAAGAGGGAAGATGAAATATCTGCATAGCTTGTGCAGTTTACGTAGCAGGAATTTTATTCAGCGGTTTCCCTTTGGTTTTGTGTTGAAAAGGTTCCCACACCAGTTACAGAAATTGACATTGCAGCCTCAAATAGAAAAATGGATTTTATCATAGTAAATACAAGACACAGTATCTCTCTTGTCTATAATCTGTGTCCTTTTGTTGCTGCCAAGACAATGAAACAGCAACAGGTATAGAGGCCAGTACATTGTGTTCCGTCCACCCCCCCCCCCCTCCACCTATCCAAACAGCCATCTTCTAACACCCTCTGTCGTATTGTCCATTATCCGACCAAATGCTCGCTATTTCCCAACTGTTCATTTTCAAAACTGAACAGTCTATTGAAGGTTTTCAGCTACCTCTATAGAAACCGCAAAATCAGGGTCATTTTAACAAAAATGTTTTGTTTGCATTCATATTGATGAATAAATCCCAATGTGTCTGTCCCTTTACTGGCAAACTATCTTCCTAAGAAGGTGATGCGCAGTATCTTAGTATCTCCTTTAAGATTTCTATAACAGCTAACTTTCACATAGTACACGTGAATGAGAATAAAAGAAGCTAAAACCCTGTCTTGGGGTGTGCATGTTAGAATGCTTTTGATTTATAGAAATTCTGTAAAATGATTTGCTGGCAAAACAAATTTCTACACACACCATATTATATGTGCAAACCCTTTTAAGTGATTTGTTCAAATAAAATGATTGAACGGATCAGTTCCTGAAATTTCCTTTTTGGGTATGGATTAAAAGGATTTTGATTAAGGTAATTCGGTTTGTTTGTGAACCAAATCTTGCGAATCAATTCTTAACAGGCATTTTATTGTGACGAACCTCTGAAAATACATTTTTGCATATGTTAATGGAGACCTTCACTTTAAGTGTTAAAGGGAACCACATTTCAAGCCCTAATGCTATAGTGTTCCTTTAATCCTGAGCCTGTTCGTACCATTTAACCATTTGTATGCATGCAGTATGATTAAGCTTTCTCAGGTAGGATATTGTGTCTGCCCCCCTAATATTACAAACAAACTGTACCTACTTCACCAACACAGGCTCACAGTACAGGCCAAAAACAGGGAGTTTCATCATTTTTATTTATTTGTCATACTTGCTACACCGCTTCTATACTAATATTTTATACCCTTTATGCAAGATAAGGGATATTGTAATCTCTATTACCATTAATACTTTACAAACAGCAGTGTAACGCCACCCCAAACTAGCGTATTTCAGCAATGATATTTTCCTTAAGTGTTATTGAGAATGAGTAGATCCAATCCCCTTCACACTATTTATTTATTAAATCACTTACAATGGGCATGGCGTTGATCAAGCCAACCCCGTAACCATAACAAATACTTTATAAATACTGGATTTATGCATTTATACACATTTCCATAACACATAGAGTAGTTAAAAATATATTGTATAATATGTAATAAATTAAATACATAAAATATTTATAGAAATGGCTATATAAAGGCTATTTTCTTTCTGAATAAGGCAGTTGGCAGCAATGTGAACTGCAATGCTGTGTGTGGCACGATCACTGTGTATCACCTATATTCACTAACACAGGACTTGTTGGGAACTCAACGTGAGTTTCACATTTTAGGCCAAACAGTCAAATTGGAAACGTAGCTTCTTGAAGAATTCTTCCAATTTGGCTATTGTCTAAAATATGAAATCAGTTTGAATGCCCAACAATTCACAGTTAAGCAAGTAACCCTGAACATGTTACCTTGTGTCGCAGGTAGCTTTTCATGTTTGTATCCACTTTATCAGAAAAGGCAGGTCTTCTGGAATAATTGCAAGGCATTGTTTACATTGGGCAGGCAAGCATTGGCACTCCAGACATTGTGACCTTCATTAAGGGAGCTGTAATCTGGACTGTCAAATATTGCCTATCCCTCTACTAGTAAATAAACACCATAGTGTTACCCCCCCACGGCAGCACCCAAAGGGTTAAATAACTCTCACCTTATTGCACGATGAAGTCTCTCCACCACCGCCAAGTAGAACCTAATGCACATGCAGGGGGAGCACATTTTTTCCACAAGAGAAATAATTGAATCAATGAATTCCTATTCAGAAGGTACTAGATGTCTTGTTTGGTAGACAACCATTAGAGGCAGTCTTAACCCTGCCATATAAACATTGTAAAACTGCAGTGCTTCGGGGACAAGGACCATACAGCCAGGGACAACTGCAATGAGATGAAGTGGTCTGGGTGCCTATAGTATTTAACATTTTATACACAGAATTATATTATACTTATCCTTGCTCCCTAGCCTTCACACTTACAGTGTATATATAAACTGAATGAATCTAGTTTCATGAATGAAGCTACTGCCATGTTTTTGGACTATGTATCCCATACGTCGGGGTGTACAGGGAGGGCTAAAGTTATCTTTGAAATCCAAGCCATTTTCCTGTCCCTGGACAAGCTGCACCAAATTTTAGTTATTGGGGGTCATGGATCACGCATTTCACCCCATGAGGGAGGCTTGCGTCTTGGTGACATTTGGTTAATAGCTGCAGAAACTGGGGAAAAAAGCTCCATATCTAATTAAAATTGTATACTGATTTAAAAACCAACAACAAACTAACATGGAGCAAATCATAAATGGTAAATTGTTCAATAATCAGAAAAAAAAGTTAAAATATTCACCTTCTCTAATTTTTGTTAATTTTTAACATTATTAGATCTTAAACATTGTGTTTAATAACCCTTAGTCTTAGGATACCAATCTCGAATCGTGTGCATTCAATATACTAATATTTACAGTAAATTGTACACAAAATATGTAGATCATTTTTATCATGTTTGCAAATGGTAATGCTATGATAGATTTTCTGTAAGGGATCTCTGAAACTGCATTAAAACGTTTAATGAGCTAATTGGAGCATTAAATCAGGATATAGATACCTTTTTATATGTCCAGGGATGTATTAGACCTTCTCTTAAAAACTAGGACTATTTTTTTTTTTTTTTTTTTTTTAAAGAATGACTGTCATAAATATTTAACTTCTCAAAAGTTTGTTACATAAATGAAACCGTGATTTAAAAAAATAAATATAAAAAATATATAGTCAACACATGGTTAAACGCAGATCTGCACACACCAGTCAAGCCATACGACTTGCTTTTTCCACAGAAATCTCAAGTTTGCAGTGATGTTACTACTGCAAGGGATTCTGGGTGGCCATATGCAAATAATAGGGATCGACCGATATTGATTTTTTAGAGCCGATACCGATACCGATAATCTGCGAACTTTCAGGCCGATAGCCGATATCTTGCCGATATTCTGTACATTTACTATTTTGAATAAATAAACTAATTCGAAAGGTAAATGCACAAAATATACATGCCACATGTAGTGGATGAAGTGTGTTTAGACAGGGGAACTGTGTGTGTTTGTGTAGTGTGTGTGTGTGTATATAATGCAGTGTGTGTAGTGTGTATATAATGCAGTGTGTTTATGTAGTGTGTGTGTATAATGCAGTGTGTTTTTGTGTGTGTATGTAATGCAGTGTGTGTGTGTGTGTGTTTGTGTAGTGTGCATGTATGTAATGCAGTGTGTGTTTGTGTAGTGTGTATGTAATGCAGTGTGTGTGTCTGTGTAGTGTGTATGTAATGCAGTATGTGTACTGTGTTTGTGTAGTGTGTATGTAATGCAGTGTGTGTATGTAATGCAGTGTGTGTGCAGTGTAGTGTGTGCAGTGTGTGTTTGTGTAGTGTGTATGTAATGCAGTGTGTGTGCCTGTGTAGTGTGTATGTGTATGTAATGCAGTATGTGTACTGTGTTTGTGTAGTGTGTATGTAATGCAGTGTGTGTATGTAATGCAGTGTGTGTGCAGTGTAGTGTGTGCAGTGTGTGTTTGTGTAGTGTGTATGTAATGCAGTGTGTGTGCCTGTGTAGTGTGTATGTGTATGTAATGCAGTATGTGTACTGTGTTTGTGTAGTGTGTATGTAATGCAGTGTGTGTATGTAATGCAGTGTGTGTGCAGTGTAGTGTGTCTGTAATGCAGTATGTGTGCAGTGTGTGTTTGTGGTGTGTGTGTAGTGTCTGTCTGTGTAGTGTGTGTATGTAATGCAGTGTGTGTGTGTAGTGTGTATGTAATGCAGTGTGTGTGTATGTAATGCAGTATGTGTGCAGTGTGTGTTTGTGTAGTGTGTGTGTGTGTTTGTGTAGTGATGTAATTTGTGTAATTTTTTATTTTAATATTTTTTTTAATATTTAAAAATTTTTTTGTTTAGTCCCCCCCCCAGTGTGTGTTTGTGTAGTGTGTGTTTGTGTAGTGTGTATGTAATGCAGTATGTGTGCAGTGTGTGTGTGTGTGTGTAGTGATGTAATTTGTGTAATTTTTTATTTTAATATTTTTTTTTAATATTGAAATTTTTTTTTATTTTTTGTTTAGTCCCCCCTCCCTGCTTCTTACCAGGGAGGGGGATATAGTATCCCCTGGTGGTCCAGTGGCTTGTTAAGTACAGTGGTGGCTCAGCAGCAGCAAGCGCTGACTTACCACCTTGCAAGCAGCTCCTACAGCTCCCTATGTAAATCTCGCGGCTCTTAGTGCCGCGCGGAGCGTTGCCATGGTAACCCGTGGCAACGCTCTGCGGCCGCGGGTCTCGCGAGATTTACACAGGGAGCTGCTGGAGCTGCATGCAAGGTAAGTCAGCGCTTGCTGCTGGCCCCCACAGGACCGCCGGGCTTGTAATGGGCCCGGCGGTCCTGTTATATATTATCGGCAATATCGGTATCTGAATTGGCCGATACCGATATTGCCGAAAATACCAAATATCGGCCGATAATATCGGCCAGGCCGATAATCGGTCGATCCCTAGCAAATAAGTTAAAAAAGACTCTTTATTCCACTTCAGTTTGCCCACCCAGAATCCAAAACAAGAAGAGAATGTTTAATGACAGGTGTCCTTTAATATACACTATTCTAGGGACTGGGTTTCATATCAAATATTTTGTTTCCTAAATAATGTCTGCCATATGTGACAGGAAAACAATATCCCATTTAAAGGATTACATTATCTTCGTTACTATTTTTTTTTGTTAAATCTACATTTTGCATTGTGGGTACAATTCCCACTGTTCTGTGTTCATTGAATATGACACTATGTGTATTGCAATCCTCCGTCTAACCCAAACATGAAAAGCTGCCCGAGTACGGGGATGAATGACAAACCTTTGGCTTCTTGAAAACAATGTCACTGTTAATACAACTAAGAATAGGTTTCTTGGAATGAGATGTGGAATACAATGTGTGCTGTACAAACGGCCAATAATATACATGTTAACCGTCTCCTTCTGACTCCTCGTCCTCGGCTGCGTAGTAAGGCTGGGAACTGTTCTGTGTGTACATTTTTGTTTTTACCGGACACTTCTGATCCATAAGAATTGCCTAGAATTAAATGAAACCAGCAGATTGAAGACCTCAAACATGACCATAACTTCTGATATGACTTTAACATATTGTGATACAATCTTCAGCCCATCTAACCCCTCCCACCCCCCTGAATTTATACTATAAGGACAGGGCTATTCTGTTTCTTAAGAATGGTCATATTACATTATTCCATACGTGAATTAAACAGCACTCATCTTGGTTAGAGTTTAAGCCAATTATATAACTACGGGTGTTATAGAATGAGCAAAACTAGTCAAACACATACATTGTATCATCTGGGGAAAGCTTACAATCTGCTTAAACCCATTAAGAAAATCATATTTCACATATCTGCTTACCATTTTTTCTTCCTTGGCGGGGGGGCTCCGGAGGAACAAGCACAGGGGGGCAAAGAGGATGTCTACTATTCCAATAATAGTCATTAGCCAGGGGAACCCAATGGATTTAGCAATAGCTCCTCCAGCAGATGGGCCTGAGGAATTGTAAAAATTTAAAGTAAGACTCTCCGTTCTGAAGAATGCATATATTGTCAACCAACGCTCTGTGTCCTATCTGCCTGCTTAAACCATATCCACTGTGTATAGTCCGACCAAAAAGTATTTACTTTAATACTATAGATCAGATTATGACTATTTTTGCTGGAACAGGGGTTTCAATAAACCTGGTATCTTTAGGAGGTACCCCTTACAAGGAGTAACAGGGTAAGTGACATTATCCTCAGAGTAGAAGACTCCGGGTATTATGCACTGAAAGCAGGGGTAGTCCTTCTTAATGGATGTTTCCTATGTCCTCCGGTTGTTGGACTCCTTCCTTGGGTTTTACTCCTACAAGGCACCGTGAATCCCAAATCCAAATGCAAGGAATTAGATTTCTCCATCTGGAATTCCTTCACCCAGGGTTCATATTGCTGTTAGCTGGCCACGTGGCTCTGTCTCAGTAATGAAGAAGGTATATATTGAGTTGTGTCTGGGTTTACTTTCTGAAGGCTGAGTTACTAAGCCAGGCTATCAGAAACCACAGTCTACATGGAGAAGGCACCCTTCTATGGTAGCTATAGAATACACAGACGAGGACAGGGTGACACTGGCCAAGAGCAGTCTATATCGTGAGATACAATTGATACAGCCTATATCGGGAGACACAATGGATACATCCTATATCTAGAGATACAATGGATATAGCCTATATATAGAGATACAATGGATACAGCCTATATCTGGAGATACAATGGATACAGCCTATATCTGGAGATACAATAGATACAGGCTATAGCGGGAGATACAATGGATACAGCCTATATCAGGAGATACAGTGGAGTGGATACAGCCTATATCGGGAGATACAGTGGATACAGCCTATATCGGGAGATACAGCCTATATTGGGAGATACAATGGATACAGCCTATATTGGGAGATACAATGGATACAGCCTATATCGGGAGATACAGTGGATACAGCCTAGATTACTGGATCCCAACACAACCCTCAAGACACAGCAAGAGTCCAGAATTTAGTTATTTCCAGATTCTGTTCTGTAGGAAAAACGGATAAAACCTAGTGGACATAGCAGGAAACAGATGGTCTATATCAGGCGTTCCCAATTAATTTTTCCCATGAAACCCTTTGACATAGTGTATCAACATACACACACTGACACACAGATACACACACTGGCACACAGTGACACACAGATACAAACAGTGACACAAAGCACAAAGATTTCAAACAGATATACACACTGTCAAATACATACACATGCCATTTTATATATGTACAGTCACCCTCCTGTTAGCATACCAGTTGTCTGCAGGAGGGTGACTTCCTGGCTGAAGCTGGTGTGTGGGGGAAGCTGCTCACTGCCAACTGCTGCCTCTCTCCCACTAGTGCGGCGTTTTCTGGATGAAGCTGGAAGGAAATGACCGTCCATCACTTCCTCCCAGCATCCAATACTACGGGGACCCGGTCGTGCAATTAATTGGCCACGGTGCTGACCGGGTCCCTTTGCAGCAATGCTCATCAGGTGGCCCTTATTTCTGCATAATGTCAATAGTTAGAAAATGGAGCGCTATACACACAATAAAATACTCAGTTCTTACCGAGTGCAAATCCCATACAAAAGGCAACATCCGCGATTGCGTAAACGCTACCATAAACAGAAACGTGGCGCAGGTCTACCAAGTAGCCCATTATTGGCATCATAGAAGAGTCTACCATACCTGTTAGGTAAATTAACACATTTAGTAGAGAGTTTTGATTCATTGTCACCTGTACCCAGTATAATATTCAAACCTGCACTGCTTTCGTTTAACTGGAATACAAAATTAAATTAATTACAGGTACTCTGCATGTTTAATTGAAGTCTAAATTCTTTGTAAGCAAAAAGACACATTTTCAAATTTGTTGCTATGCCCTCAGATTGGGGATATGTTACTTCCACAACTTACCAATTGCAAATCCAACGCCAAAGTTGGGCGCAATTAGGCCATAGATGTTTTTTGCAAATGGTACCTATGTGGAAAAATAGAAAATATGAAACCTTTACCAATAAGAAGACTTTCGATTATGCGCAGTTATTGTTTGCTAAAGGATAACTTTCTACAAGGACAGAGGTAACAATGTCATCACAATATCTGTAGTGAAAAGACATGTCTCGACATGGAACTGCTCCCCAAATTAACTTCAGTTCCTTAATTTCCCAAGACTGATTATTTGATTTTCAATAATAACAATAAATAGACAAACTACATTGGTTGAACTCCAAGGCCCATACAGAGTAAAGTATGCAATCCATG